ATGAAATTAATACCCTATTAATGCCACCTCACCCCATCCACCTCACTAAAATGTAGATATAAAATCGGAGATGCGTAAGTTCTATTCAGTTGTGTATTTGTAAACTAAAGTCTTTGAAAATGTAATAAGTTTTACAAAACGCGCTCGTGTCGCGTCAGACTAGAAATAAAAATGAATTTTGGAGAATTGATTTTTGATTTACCTCCAACAGTGAAAAGAAATGTACGAAAGATTGAGAAAATTCGTGTTAGAATTATTAATCTTACTTTTTCGGTCATATTTAATAATATATGTCTACAGGAAAGACTGCTACCAAAAATACTAATATATATATATATATATATATATATATATATATATATATATATATATATATATATATATATATATATATATATATATATATATATATATATATATATATAAAATGACAAAAAGGGTAGGTCCCAAAATGAACCCTTGTGGCACCTCACTTAACACATTTCTCCATTCAGTTTCCTTTCCATTTAACACATTTAGAAAACCCTTAGTTTTCTTTCCTTCAACCATTGTTTTATTCATCCTAATATTTTATTATTTATTCTGTGGACCTGCAATTTTCTTGCCAGTCTTTCAAATGGTTCCTTATCAAAACCTTTAGCAAAATCCATGTATACTACATTCACTGGAAGGCCGTCGAGTGGCTGGTTACCGTTTCCAAAAATATGAGCAAGTTTGTAAGGCCGAAGCTTTTTTAACAATCCATGTTGTATCGTTTGTACAAGATTGTACACTGAAAGATGGTGAATGATTCCCTCCGAGGATTCTCTCCATGAGCTTGCAGATGTGTGATGGTAAACTGGTCGGCAGGTAGTTTTATACCGAGCTCTTTCTGCCATTTTTAGAAAAATAAGGGTGACATTTCCAATCTAGGGGGGGGGGGGGGGGCGACCCTCTGGTCCAAAGATTTAGTGTCAAGTAGTTTCAGCGGTAGGCATAGTTATTCTGCCAGTTCCTTTTAGACATTGGATTGGATTCCCTCCACACCTGGGACTTTTGAGTTTTTTTTAGGCTGTCTGGAGTGCAGTCACCTAGTCTCATATCCCTAGATTTCTGTGCAGATATTTTTAGTCGTAAAATGCTTCATTCAGACATTACTTTATCTAGCGCCACTTGTGCTTAATTAAAAAGTGAAGGACCTGTGATGACTACTGCTGTATCTTCGGCATAGCTAAGCAATTTAACTTTCAAAAGTCATGGTAACGAGGTTTTCTATATGGATGTTAAAAAGAATAGGACTGAGGACGATTCCTTGTGGAGTTTCATTCTCATACAAGTGTAGTCTGACACTAGGCCTTTCAGCTTTACTCTGGCATACCCGTGACAGACTTGAATCCACGCTAGCATTTTCTCTTAATTTTATGATTAACGTGTGTGAAAATGCTTGTTGGCTTGCAAGTTCGAAGGCTTTTTCTAGATCAGGGAAGATCTAGAAAAATACTCATCTAACGTAATAACTTTACTAGGAAGAGTCAACTCAGCTGATGTTGCTATGCAGTTTTCAGTCCCTCTAGCAAAACCAAATATATTTTTATGCAGGTCTCCAGTCTTTCACAGTAGCCTTTACGACCATCAGTTCTGCAATTTTACTAATACATGATGTTACTTAAATAGATCTGCAACTGCCACTGTCTTCCGGTTTAGAAATTGGAATGATGTCTGCTTTCTTCCAAGAGGTCGGTAGTTTGCCTTGCTCCCAAGATGTATTGATAACGTGCAATAACCGTTGCTCTTCAGTGGGACCTGTATGTGCGATCATGGAATATGTAATGTTATCAGTAACTGGTGCAGTATCATTGCCACCTTCTTGGGCTCTGATTAGTTTTTGTTCAGTAAAGGAACATTAGTCATTTGTAGCTATGCTCTCTTGAATGGAACGTCAACCTCCAGTTTTTCTTTTCTGCCTTCTGACCACTGCAGGAAGCTGATATGAAGCTTCTCCTGCAAACAGACATCAAGTCACTCAGCCTCCTGCAATGGATAAATACATGCATGTTGTCGAGGAGATCGACCTAACGTTTTTTTTAATCTGTCCCTATATCTTTCCAAGACTACAATGTTCATTTAGAGCGACACCACTCAAACCATCTTGCCTGCTTTTACTCTTTAGAATCTCGTCTAGCTTCAGATATGATTGCTCTTAGCAGAGTTCTTCCTTCTGGTGTGCGGTTTCTCGAGATGTTTTCTGAGGATGTTGACTGTGGTTTTGTTCTTTAACTTCTTTACTGTAGAATAAATAGTTCTTACGATTTGTGTTTCCTGGGATGATGGCTGAAATAGCTCTGTTTCAGCAGCTGTAATGGCTTCCTAAAGATTGGTCACATATCCGAATCCTTGGGTGGCTAGTATGTAGCATGTTATTTTTCAAGCTCGTCATGATATATATTCCAGTTGGCTTTTATTAGATTCCACCTCGGATGTGCAAGTGGTGTTGAAGATCTTTCTATGTTAGTGATGTGATAGTAGCATTGTGGTCACTGGTGATCATCGGGTCGACTTCACATTTCGCCTGATGCTTGAGTGCAGTTGAGATTAACTTAAGAGAGAACCCTCCTTGAATGTGTGGGGTGTTTCCCCAGGGTTGCAAAGTGTAATCTCAGGTACTTTTCGCAGAACTTTAGCTAAATGGCTCCTATCTGTATTGGCAAGCCCAGTTACACCTGATTATGAGTATTACAATCCCAGGTAATAATTATATCATACATCTCCATGACAAGCACTTCCTCTGGTAGTTTACATCTAGGGGCTTATAGACGTCATATACGAGAAGCTCAGTATTAGTAGTATTCACTGTTACTGCTAATACCTTTACTCATCCCCACACGAAACTATTTTCTTGCTTTGTATGAACTATCTTCCCTCGTTGTCTGAAAATTGCTTCTATTTCCTCTATCTGTTCGACTTTTTTTACCGTCTCACAGTAGTAAGAGCCGATTCACATTCCTAGGTCTGGATAAATTTCTCTTTCAACCGAGGTCGAAAAATAATTTTCCCAGATAGAATCAGGGATACCTAACACCTAGTTGAGCAGTTTGGTCTACCTTTCACTGTCAAGCTCTGTACACCTTTAAAGGTACGCCAAGGTGGTACTGCTCACAAGGTATCGACCAGCTCAGTGATACAGCCCTCTCTCACACACACACACACACACACACACACACACACCATAATAATAGATCATTGGGAGCCGGGCGACCAGACCACTGTGGTAACAGTGTGCCCAAAACTAGCCAGGTGTACAGCAGTCTACAAGGTTATTTATCCAATTGCAGAAGAAATCTGCAACGTTACTTCCAAACAATTGCATGGCACACACTTCTGGCGGGCGGACACAAACACAGTTAGCGTGTTACATCAGCAGCTCTGAGTCTGGGTATTGATGAGTTGTGCCTCACAAAACTGCGAGGATTTGAGCTGATGGTTGCTCATAATCTGAAGTTTCCCAGAGAACAAACCCGTGTGCTGCCTGCTGTACCAGTGACGCCGGCGGCGAGTCTCATGGCTGGTGATCGGCTCATCCTAGTAATGTAGGTCATTATGACCTTTCACCACAGCCAATAGTTCTTAGTTACGACTACCTCTCTCCTGATGCTTCACTACTCGTAATTTATATTATATCTTCGTTCATTTCTTAATGGATAGACCAAGCTATTATGTAATATTTATATTAGCGTCATGGCCTTTACACAAATAAACATGTTTGATCCCTCCCAATTATTAAAGATTCTAGAACACACTCGTGGCCGCACGCACTCCTGGAGGACACACACATGTAGTTAACATGTAACATCAACAGCTGTGGAAATCCCTTTCCTTGTATCACTGGAGATTGCCACGAACCAGACTTTCGTCTAAGAATATTTAATACGAGAACATTAAGTCCAACAGATGCTATGCATGGATTGTTCACAAGAGTAGCGAGGGCAGCCAAGTACCGCATTCATCATTAATGTATGGTTCATAACGCGAGGTAAAAAGAAGAAAAACAGTGAAGTTAGCACTATGGGTCATTTAGACCTGGAGGACATAATAACAGAATTGCAACCGGGAAATCCTCCTGATTTACCGACGGATCCTGCAGTCTCTCAGAGACAAACCAGGGTTTCACGCAACTCCCCCCATGGCACTCTAGCTATGTCAATAGGCTGTTCTACCTCTTCGCCCTTACTTCATTACACCTCACATCACAATAGCGTGATGCATCACATGAACAAATCCCCAAATAATTGCATAAAACCCTGGTTTGTGTCTTCAGACTGCAGGATCCGTCGGTAAATCAGAATGATTTCCCGGCTGCAAATTCTTTTACCATGTCGTAGCGCAGTCGATTAAGGCAGTGTCTGGAATCCTCTCGGACGTAGGTTCGAATCCTCGTCACGACCCTTGTGGATTTGTTCTTTAGAATCTCTTGTATGGATACCATCTCACAAATATAGCCCACCACAATGACTGACAATGCAGCGAACATTAGCTGGTAACAATGATGAGGTTTAGCGGCCTTGGTAATCCCATCTCTGCTGTCAAGACTATATTGTTCCCAGCACACTGGTGTAATAGAGAAATTACCGACTCCCAACGGTCTGAAATCACCAATATAAAAACCTGTGATTTGTTTAGATTCGAAATCTGTGTTTATGGGCAGCACAAAACGACCACCAGACTGACTGAAAATCTGAGTAAGGCCCAACCGACCTGCACAATACGTTCTTAACATACTGAGAAGCTGCTCGTTAACCACACAACATATCAAGGCAACACGTGTCAGCAGACTCTGCAAAAGCCATTGACAGACTGGCTTGACTACTTGAAAATAAAAATTATGAATGACCTTCCACTTCAGACAAAATATTTCTTTGACAACCACAAAATTAAAAAGATTCCTCCAGCAACACACTGACTACTTTGACCGTAATGCTGGAGTGCCACAAGGTTGTGTACTGGCGCCAACATTACACCACACACTACAGAGGGTAGGAAGAGGAGGAGTGGCGGCCTTGCTGATGGAGGAGTGGCGGCCTTGCTGATGGAGGAGTGGCGGCCTTGCTGATGGAGGAGTGGCGGCCTGCTGATGGAGGAGTGGCGGCCCTGCTGATGGAGGAGTGGCGGCCTGGCTGATGGAGGAGTGGCGGCCTGGCTGATGGAGGAGTGGCGGCCTGGCTGATGGAGGAGTGGCGGCCTGGCTGATGGAGGAGTGGCGGCCTGGCTGATGGAGGAGTGGCGGCCTGGCTGATGGAGGAGTGGCGGCCTGGCTGATGGAGGAGTGGCGGCCTGGCTGATGGAGGAGTGGCGGCCTGGCTGATGGAGGAGTGGCGGCCTGGCTGATGGAGGAGTGGCGGCCTGGCTGATGGAGGAGTGGCGGCCTGGCTGATGGAGTGGCGGCCTGGCTGATGGAGTGGCGGCCTGGCTGGTGGAGGAGTGGCGGCCTGGCTGATGGAGGAGGGGCGGCCTGGCTGATGGAGGAGTGGCGGCCTGGCTGATGGAGGAGTGGCGGCCTGGCTGATGGAGGAGTGGCGGCCTGGCTGATGGAGGAGTGGCGGCCTGGCTGATGGAGGAGTGGCGGCCTGGCTGGTGGAGGAGTGGCGGCCTGGCTGGTGGAGGAGTGGCGGCCTGGCTGGTGGAGGAGTGGCGGCCTGGCTGGTGGAGGAGTGGCGGCCCTGCTGATGGAGGAGTGACGGCTCTGCTGATGGAGGACTAGAGTTACGAGGAGCTGGATATCCCGGGCTGCGAGGAGTTCAGAGACTACATAACAGGCACCATGACAATGGGAGGACCATATATAGTAGCAGTGATATATAACCCTCCTGTAAATGACAATGACAGGCAAGATTATGACAAACAGCAGTACCTAGTATAACAAAGGGAAGTCTCTGTCGCCTGTTAGAAATCTATCCCTACTTCTAATCGTGGGGGGAAGGGGGGGGGGACTCCAACCATGGAAAGTTACGAGAACCGTATGGGGGCACAGAACGAACTAAACTACTGGACATGGTAACAAGAAACCTTTTAAGCCACCATGTAAGATGATCCACAACACTAGAGGTAATGATGAACCAGCTTGACTTTACCTAGAATTCATTGAACGATTTAATAAAAGTAAATAAAATAAACGGGAAAATATCATTCGAAGCCCCATTGGAATGAGTGATCACTATATACTGACGTTCGAATATATAGTGAAAGTATGGATAACTTAATTAAGGGACCAGGACACTAAAGCCTGGTATAGCATAAGTACAATTACAAGGAAACAAAAGTTAAATTATAAATACCATAGGTAGCAAAGCTCAAGAAGAAAGACTACATAAACGTGATTGACTACATCACCCAGATGAGTAAGGAGGTGGCACAAGTTTGTCCTGGTATGAGGGAATGGAATTTCACAACTTAAGTGATGCAAGTGTGTATGACCAGATGTATATCAGCGTGAAATCTCCAGAGTGCACATTCAGCAATGCACTCTCCTGTATCCTCTGGTCTGGGACCAAGGTCTGCCTTGCTGGGCATCTATGGGCAGCCCTCTGGCTGGGCTGACCAAGAATATAATAAAAGTTGTTGCATTCCCAACTCACCCGAGGAGATTATACCCATCAGTGGAACTCAGTGGTTCCATTCATAGGGAGAGAACGTAGAGGGTTAGTTTCGTGCTCCCAGTCCTGAAGGGTTCACTCACGTTAAGGCAGCTCTCTTAACCTACCTTGTTCCTTTTCCATGACATGAAGCCTCGACAGAACTTACTTGTGTTAGGAATTGACATTGGTTTAGGAATTTGTCTGCTATTTGCCTATTCGGTAACAGGATCATTGGACAAAGGGAAAGTAGACCAAATGGTCTAACCGGTATCGTGTAGCACGAACCGAACTGACAAAACCAATCAATGACATCAACTTAAGAGAAAATCTGAAGCCAGGGAGTCTTCTAATCTTGTCTGTATGTGATAATGATAGAACTAGTATTCTGAGCAGACCTAGATAAATTATGGACATTAACAGAATTTCAAGGAGTACCCAAGCTGAAGATTCTTCCAGAAGGCACCCGGGATACAGCAGAAATGGTATATCTGTCGAATGAAAGAATAAAACGCAATTTAACAAAAATGGTGATGGCAAACAGGCCGGAGACAACGACAGGCCCAGACCAAGAGGCTAAGAGGAGGAGACGCTGGTCGCCAATACCAGTTCCACAACAAAGCAGCTATAGCTACAACAGATCATTGAATGACCTGCGGGTATTTGATAACAGTGGCTGCCCCCCCCCCCCCTAGAGCAGGCCGTGGTCCTCATCATAAAATAGGAACCAGGTCAACTGATTCAACACAATTTGAGACAACCCAAGGAACGACTGCCAAGTGTAACATTGACCTCGTAGAGGAACATTAGAGTTTTAAGACTGACACTACTGACAGAGGAATTAGAGTTGAGACCAGAGTTACAGAAGAGACGACGACTACTGTACAACGAAGGAAGAATATTGCAACAGCAGCGAGATAAAGTCCGATACCAAAGATTTAGTTCCTTCGAAGATTCTCTGTTGTAAGTGTTATTACCTGGTTGGTCTGTGTGATAAGCAATAAAAATCTAAATATTTTGATATATTAATTAAACACTTTAATGCGCGCGCGCCCCGTGAAAAAAATAGTTCATTGCGCGCGCTGCGTTTTGGGCTCTTGAGCGTAAACACCAAAAATTGTGTAATCTTTCACTCTCCTGTCACCAATTCTCGAGCTACGTATTTCATTTTGGTATCAATGTGTTGGCAATAAACTTCTCTACAAGATCATATGTATAACATGTCACCAAAGCATTAGCTATCCCACCACGAAATAAATAAAACGTAGATCACTCGCCATGACGCCCAAACTGCAACAAAATGTTCATACTCTTGTTTGTTGTCAGCTCCACATTAGTTCTACAGCGTTATATTTTATATCACTGAACTCGCAATAAAATTCCCTACACGGACATATGCATATAAATGTATAATCATGATCGTGGCTCACACCAAGAGTGTGAAGTGGGCGATTACCCTCGTTGTGTCAACTCAATAGTCTCTCCTCTAAGTTACAATACAATGCCGTTTTCTCAAATAGGTCATGTGCCTATTAGAGAAAACGGAAATTTAATGGCAAACATTTTCATACTAACCCCAAGTCGATCAAATAAGAATTAGATTTTATATTTTTTTTTTTTTTAGATCGGCCGGCTATTTACGGCGCGGGTTGCGGAACCCGTTAGCCAAGCCCGTCGTGTATTTACGGTCCGGTTGCGTTAAAGTGTTTAATATACTGTGTATATTTAGGCATTGGTTAGGTTAGGTGTTTAGGTTCTGATGGCAATTATTTGTATTTGTAGTACGTGGGTGAAGCACTTTTCAACTTCGTGGTTCGAACAAATGTCAACAGTGAATCGCTGATCGAGAAATGTTTGAACGTCATCAGTTGTGGCAGCCTGTCCAATAAACAAAGGCTAAAGTACATTCCATGCATCCGCCAAACCCCATTTATTAATGAAAACGGTTTACACTAAACTGATGACATTCGAACACCTTTGGAACAAGTGCTTCGCTGACGACTTTTGTTCAAACCACAACGCTGTAAATGCTTCACCCCACGTACTACAAATACTTGCCAACAGACCCTAAACACCTAACCTAAACAATTCATAAATATCCACAGTATGCTAATATATATTATTAATTTTTATTTGACAAAAGTTTTGTTTTGAATTAACAGCATGTTAAAATAGACGAATGCGTCTTTGGGGGTTGACCACAGGATGGAATGGACTAGGTCTGAGGACGGGTTGGTTGTGGGACATGTGATACAAAACGTTTCATTTATAAACATGGGGGTTTGGCAGGTGCATGGTATGGACTTTATCCTTTGTTTATGAGGTCGACCTGTTACACACTACTCAATAAATCGTGCTCTAACATTTCTCTAAAAGTGCTTCGCTGACGACCTCTGCTCGAATCCCAAAGCTATAACTTTCACCCCATGTAGTTCTAATACAAATAATGGCCAACAGGACCTTAACACCTAATCTAACCTACCCCCTAAATTTACATTGAAATTGAAATTATAATATTAACTTTGATGATGATAATACAATTTTTAATACACGATGAAACTGATGAATGCATTGGATTGGAGGGGGTGGGGGGGGGGGACGGCTACCACTAACTAGCCAGGCCTGAGGACGTGATGCTGGAAACGAGCATTTGCCCTTTTGTGGAAGAGGACTGGCTGCTTTCCTACAGTTTACTATACAGTTTAATACACAGTTAACTGCAGTTCAAGCGGTCCATGAATGGACAAGTTCAAGCCGACCTGAAATTTACCATCAAGACCCGCATGGAGGAGCTTCCCTTCCGAGGGACTCAAGTGTGTATATATATAGACGGAGAAAGACGCCTAATAAAGGTTTATTACAAAGACTCAGACCTTCACTTTTATTAACATCCTGCCACCCGGTTTCTTTCAAGAGTCCTCTTTCATTCTCCCTGGGAATCCGAGTCAAAGATCAACAAGTGATCAGAATAATCTGGGGAAAGCCTTGGAGCTCCTCCAAGGCTTTCCCCAGATTATTCTGGGGCATCTTTAAAGCTAGAGGCTGTCCAGAATCTACCATACAAGAAGCTGCCATGAAACTAGCCCCTCTCCAGCGACAAAGTCTTGTACAGGAACAAACACATCCAGACTATAGAGGATGGTTCTATCCTAGTTGTATAATTCCGACAGCTTCAGGAAGCATCCGAAAGGAAGTTAACAAGCTCTAGTCATGGTTAGTCTAGTTCACTTATTATGCACCCCATACCCATCATGTGGGCGGTAGTGGAAAGGGTTACAGAGGCACATAATGGGCTCAAGGACTCCTGAGATTCAAAATTGTGGGGAACTGTGAACCCCACAATTTTGCTAAACAAGTTACAATCTTGAGCTGGTTACAAAATTCAAAAGATCGTCACATCATTGGGTTCGAGATCGACCATAAGTTCAGTTACTAAATTAAGAAACTGACATATAAAGAGAGCTAGTGTCAATATGTTTGTCCTGCACACCACCCCCATCCAGTGGGCAGCGGTGGATAGGTTACAATCACTAAGTTACTACCTACAGTTAGCAAACTAGGGATATTTGGCCAAGATTTCTGGTAGCAGATTTTAAATGAAGTATTTACACATCTCTGGAACATGTTTATAGAATTCTCTGAATTCGCGTATCTTTTTGCCCTCCATCACAGTGACGGAAGGTGTGCGAATAATTTTGTTAACAGTTTATATTTGGTCAGGTCTACATCAGCAGAAAATTTGAATTCCCAATGATACTTGTAACCGAGTGTAAGCCGAGCAGTTGCAACATCTTGAAGTCTCCAGATTGTATTTTATGATCCATAGATGTATGGCTCCTCTTGCATGATAATATAGTGATAGATGGAATTACTGGTGTCGATTTCACTTTGCCTCAGCGCTACAAGATTTTGTTTAAGTTCTTGGTGTACTTTTGCTCTCAGACTGCTTATTGGCAATCCAAGGTTATATTCAGTTTCTCCTTTAAAGACAGATTCTTTGGCTAACTCATCAGGTCTGTCATGCATTCGGAGGCCAATATGAGATGGAGTCCACATGAAATGGACTCTTACCATCATTAATAATTTTGTTGGATTTGTGTCTAGCTTCAGACACGAGCATGTTACATCTATGTCTTAAAAAGAGTTAAGAGCAATTATGGATGAGAGATTCACTTACAATTAATGTATCAAGTTTGAAGACTTGCACTTCAGTGGGAAAATCGAGGCAAATACTTCTGTCTGAAGGGTAGAGCTCCAGTTATTTATACGGACTCGCAATTCAAAATATAAGTCATCGCACATTGTCAGGACAACTGCACTTCCAGCTGCTCACGCGGGGCGGTGTTGGGAACCATCAGTGCACATGATTTGAGAGAGAGAATCCTCTCTGGACAGAGTATCAACATGGCTAAAGGCGTTGA